GTAAGGGACTCGACAGACTAAAGATGCCCTGGCAAAACCGATTGGCGTAAGCCCAAGCAGTGATCCTATTGACTCAGCTAATAGAATATGTCTCGGCAATACCTTTTTGCAGCAGCATTAACATCTAACCTATCGTTTATACACAACTCCTTTTAGTCGAATGAAATCCTATTCTTATCTCTAAGGTGGATTAGGCCTAGTTACTATCTAGAACCCGTTGTTTATGTAGTTCCTCCCTAGCTTCTCTCGAAGACTAAAGATAAATTGCCAAGGCATTCTCTCGAACCTCATGAACCCTCATAAGGAAAGGCTACTCTCGTAGCTCCTACAACCTCAAGACTTTAAGCATCATAAACAAACCAGAATAGAGCATGAAACAACAACCATTCATTAAAATAACAACTTAAATAACCATGCGAACTCCCACCAAATAGGATTAGTTCATGGTGGGGCTCGAAATCAACAAGCACAAAGCAAGATTCATTCGTTCCTTACAACCCAACAACAAAATATAAAAGCAAGGACTAAGGGGAGGAGGGAAAGCCTTCGACGTGCACTGCCAAATGCCTTCCTTGGCCACCAAGGACTGTTCCCAGCATACTAGCTCCTCTCGGATGCTCAGAACGCCACTCCCTTCTGCTAGTCAAGGAGAAATGCCACGGCAAGTGGGATTGACGGAGAAAGATGATACTTTCTCTCTCTAACTTTTTAAGATCAAATGTGGCTGGAACTAAAGTCCTCTTCAATATGGCTTCCTCCTCTATTTATAGGGGAAAAGAAATCCTAAGGTTTGGTGTTAACCATCCTAGAAAACCCCAAAACCATGGTTGAGTTGCTTGGGAGTCAAGCAGACTAGGCAATGATACAGCCTAGGTAGCTGGCTAGAGACCGGCATAATCCCACTACAGGCGCCCTAGGACCGACAGGGTCAGACTAGGCAACGTCATCAACAGAACCGGTGGTTGAAGCGCCAAAATGCTGCGGTGGGTATCTCGGGCAGAGCATACGTAAAATCCGGGACAGCTGGCTAGAAAATATCTTCTCTCTCCTTGTACGCTCCTGAAATGCCATTTGAACTTGGCATTTTTATTTAGCTCAGCAATATCCTTATGTCACGGTATTTTAAATCCTCTTTTCCTTGCTTTCAACACGTGTACATCATCAGACAAGTACCTTTCCCATAAAGCAGCACCGCTGTAAAAATAAAATGCCACGACAAACTGAAATCCACCACATGACACTATATGCTCCTAAATTCATCTAAATGGTCCTAAATGGGCTCTTAGACATTCAATAACTTAAGTGAAAAGGTCCCAAAATATGATCTTTTCAAGGAGTTATCATATTACAACCCCTTTGTCCATTAATGCATATTATTCATGTTTAACAAACACGTTTTTGGTGGATCAACACCTCTTTTAAATGATGCGAATGATGAGAACAAAATGAAAGAGAACAAAAAATAAAAAGATTTAGTGAGGTAAATCAAAACAATAAAAAATGAAAAATCCTACCCCACATGCTTTAATTCCTACCCGTACATGATCTTTATCCCCGCATGCTAATTTCAAACAAATTTTAACTGCATATTTGTCTAGTTCGCATGCTTTGAACAGAAAATAAAGCAGGAAACGAAGCAACCTAGGGTTTGGAATAAGATTTTGGGGTGGGCTCTAATTCCCTGTACTCTCCCGGTTTAGGTTCTAAAAAGGTACCCGAGCTCTCCTTGCTGGTGCCCCCTTGGGCTTGCCAGACCCTTAGTCCTAAGCCTATATCAAGCTTATGTGAACTAAGTTAAACTTGGGAGGAAACATTCCTTTATGCCATACGAAGAATAATTTCACACGAAGACATAAAGTATATGAATCTTGAATGTTACTTGCTAGGCCCATACGGTGAATAAATTCACACGAAGGCGTCGCTTTTGCCCCCACTTAAAAGGGTTCGAAGCTCGGGTATAGAGTTAGAGATGACAATTTTTGAAAAATCTGAAATCATTAAAAAACGTCAGTACAACTATTTATTTGAAAAATAATCAAAGGTAAATAATTGGAATCGAATAAATAAATTAAAATTTAAATTTATCGTTTTCGCATAAAAAGACAACCGAAAATTAATTTCGGCCTGACTCACTTACCTGTCCCCAGCGGAGTCGTCAAGCTGTCGCGGTCGTCTTTCGGTTGGGCCCATAATTGGGCATCGACTTGAATGAATTGGGTTAGGAGTCGCCATCGATCATTTTAAAGAAATATTAGGCTGATCGGATGTCATCTTACCTGATTTGCATTTTACCATAAACGTGTCGGGTTTGGGAGTCGGTTACGATCAAGGAAGGATTAACACCCTTGAACCGTCCTTTCGGTACCATTTAATTTGTCGGTTGTCTTTAATTACGAAAATTAGAATTTAATTTAAATTTAAAAATTCAATTCGAATTAATTACATTTGATCGATTGTTATCCCTAAAAATTCAAAAGTGTTGGATTATAAAAATGAAAATAAACATGAGAAAAGAATAATAAAAATATTAATATAATAATATTAATAAAAAAATGAAATATATATATATATATAAATGTAAAAAGAAATAAACAATATTAAAATTAGGAGAAAATGAAATATATATATAAAGTAAATAAATAAAAAATTAAATAAAAAAAAGTCAAAAGTTGTTACATCTCCCATGTTTTGCGTGTAGAGAAACTGGATTTGCAATGAAAATGATATGCCACTCCTCGTGCCTTTAGATACTGGCTTTGGATCTTCCACGCTTATTTTTTGTCCTTTACTTCCCTCGGTTTTTCCAAATCGTTGCCCCTTCCTCTGATTTTGATTCCACGTTTTTATCTCTATCATTTCCTATTGATGTTTGAGTCTATAATTATAGTCTAAAGAAACCTATTTTTAGCTCAAATCTAGAGTCCTACTTGGACTCAAAATGCTTCGTTTTTAGTGTTTCAATAGGACTCATATACGTTGATTTTAGTATTTTAATATGACTCAAATATGTTGGTTTTAGTGTTTTAATAGGACTCAAATACGTTGATTTATTTTCTGAATCTCACTAAATCAGGGTTGTTGAGTGTGGAGCCTACAAAAATAAAAATAAATAAATAATAATAATAATAATAATAATAAATATAATATAATATAATGTTTTTGTAGACCCGGACAAAAACGGGTGTCTACATGGCCAAATCCTCTTCTCTGATGCCTCCAAACGTCAAGTCCTTCATCAGTAGATTTTCTGTAATATCCTCTTCTATTGTCCTTATTCTGGTTGCCTACTAGTTCTAGAGGCCGGAATTTTAGCTTCACAAATGGTGATAAAAGTTAGAATTTGTAGTGTTGCATTTGTTCTTCTTTAAGTTGGTTTAGAACATGATTTTCTCAAGTAGTCTCTTATGGTGCTGATGTCATCAAACTCTATTACTTTGATGATGTTTCATTTCATCTAGGCTAAATGCCAGGAATGTCAGTGTCCTTTATCCCTGGAGGTATTCTGGAGGCGTGATTATGTAACATCGTCATTTACCTTGTCTTGGAATTGTGGATTGCATCGATCCAAATTTTGGTTAATTTTCTTCTCGTAGGTTATTGGCTCCTTATATATTTTCTGGCCTCTTTTTAGAAATTTTAAAGCTTTGGATATAGGGTCATAAGGTGATCGTTCTTGACATACCATTGCTGTTCGAGGCCAAGTTGAATAAGTGGACAAAACTCATTGTTGTTGCGTGGGTTGATGCTGAAACACAGCTTCGACGACTTATGGGAAGAGATAATTAGACAGCTGAGGATGCCAGAAATAGGATAAGTGCTCAGATGTCTCTAGATTTGAAGAAGAGCCGAGCAGATATAGTGATAGATAACACCGGATCACTTCATGACTTGCAGGAAAAGTTCGGCGACGTACTGTCTCAGGTCAAAAGGCCCTTGACATGGACTGAATTCTGGCTTTCCAGGGATGAAGCCTTATCAGCTCTTATTGATGTGATAATAGGTGTTCTTGTTGTCAAGAAACTCTTTTAGTAGTTTATAGGTAACTCAAATACAATCACCATCTTCTTGTGGTTTAAAACTGGTTATAACTGTCTTTTCTTGGTAAGGAAGTGATGTTGTTGTAGTATTAAATGACAGCAATTAAGTTGAATTACTCTTATTGTTGCTAGTTTTATATATAAGATTTTTCTACTGCATCTTTTACTTGAAGGTTATGACAAATTATTTTAGAAGTCATGTAATAGTTGAGCTTTTTCCTTGTGTTATGTACCAAACGTGGCAATCTTTAGACGCGAATCTGACTATATTTTCACCGAGACCAAAGACCAGCTCTGATGTAAAGCTGAACTTGCTCCTTAGGATAAGCATACTTTAGAATGGATTTATGGCATTGGTTTCTTTTTCCTTTCTAATGTTTTAGAACCATAGAAGTAGATACCTTTTGGTGCTGCTGCAGGCTTACCGGGTTCGCACCAGGCCGAAGAGATTTTAGTCAGTGGAAAAGTATTTCAGCTTGCTTTTTTTCCCAATAATCATCTCCAGGGAAGCTGATATTTTACTTTCCAATTAGAAAGTTCCCTCATGTGCCCATCCCAGGTTCATAATTGAACCTGATTCATCTGTTATTACTCGAATATCATACTCGAGTTTAATTACTACATTTTTTATTGCCTTGTTTTATGGTTTGATTGTTCTCTACTTGGAATTTATCATCCGAGGTAGTCCTTATTTGAGTTATTCTCCCCAGGTTTCGGTGTTTCACAATAACTTTTGAAAGTCTAGTGATTAAAATGGTCATCTTAACATTGTTGAGTGACCATTTGAGAAATTTACTCTATTTCATACTAATAGTGAATCTCGTGTGGGATCAATGATGGTAAACGTAAACATTTCAATTTCCCTCCTATAAATATACTTTATAAGTTGTAATCTTTCTCATTTTTGATCTGTAAAGTCGTTCGTCCCCCCTCTCTCAACACTCCCCCATTCTTTTTCAGAAGATGGCTGCCGATCAAGATGCCGTTGGAGGAGCACTGAAATATGAGGTCAGGCAAGGGTATTTCATCATTTGCTCATTTCTGGTGAATTTAATGGTAGTTTTCTAACTGAGTTGACTCATCCTTTACTGTTTTATAGACATGGGTTTTGAAAGTCCTCATCCATTGTGAAGGCTGCAAGAAGAAAGTCAAGAAAGTTCTTCAAGCCATTGATGGTACGTGCGCATGTTACTGTTCCTGGTTCGTTTCAAATGGTGATTCTGCTTCAGTTTGCTTCTTGTTTATCTCGTTTTTAATATTTGTTTATTTTTTTCTCCAGGTGTTTATGAGACGAAGATAGATTCTCAACAGCACAAGGTGACGGTCATTAGCAGCGTGGATGCAGAAACGCTCATCAAGAAGCTGACCAAGTCTGGAAAACACGTCCAGCTTTGGCCGGAATTAAAGCCTGTAAAGAAAGACAAAATTCCCGGAAAGACAAACAACAATAACAAACAGAAAGATGGCGGAGGAGAAGCCGGTGGTGGTGGTGATGATGATAATCATGACTCAAACAATAATAATTCAGCAGAGAAACCGAAACCAGCCAGCGCCGCCACTAAAGGCACTGCCAGAGATAACCAGCATGACCAAATGGGAGGCAGAAGCGAGGAACTCGACCCTACACAAAGTGCTAGTGGTGCTACCAATGGAGGTAATAAAAAGAAGAAAAAGAAAGGCCAAAAAACCAACCATGGTCCCAACGGCGACACTCAATCGGCCGTGGCACCTCCGGACCATGCACCAATCAATCCGAGCCCTCGGATTCAGCCAATGTACCCTTACACGCCTCTGCTCTATGGCTCTCCATTTTCTGGGGTAAGTTACAACACCACTTACCCTAGCTCAAGCTCTTTATATTTCACCCCTAGAATGCATTACGTGCCACCAGCTCCAGCGTCCGATCCAAGCGATAAATTCAGTGAGAATTATTACTACCATGATGATGATGAAAGTGGCTGCTCAATCATGTGAAACAAGGGATTAATATGTATGCAAATTTGAAAGAAAAAAAGAGGCTACTTTTGCTTTGGGAGAAATCAAAAGCCGTTCTTACTTTTATTGGGGTTTGGAGGGTTTTATAGTTATTAGCTTGTCTTTATTTACGTTGTTTGTAATAACTTTTCTTTTAGGGTTTCGTTATTAAGGACAATAAGCCCTTTCTAAGGGGTGTTGTAGGGTCTAATTTCTCCTCTTTTTCTTATTTATAAATGAAGAAATTTATTAAGATTTGGTCTCTCTCTCTCTCTCTCTCTCTCTCTCTCTCTCTCTCTCTCTCTCTCTCTCTCTCTATATATATATATATATATATATATATATATATATATATCTCATTTTCCCATATGTATGAAAGAATGGTTGAAGATATTAGTGGGTTCTCACGTCTCCCAAAATAAAGAAAATGTTGTTTATTTTCAAATTTATATACATTTCCTTCATATCAATTGCAATACAGAATTCTCGTTTGTTTACAACCATTTTAGCAAAAAAAAAAGTAAAAAAAAGTTTTTTAATAATACGAGATAATTATAAAATCATATTTATTTTAAAAAAATATTTTCATAACGTAAACCACTTAAAAATTTAAAGATAAACTACGCATTTAGTACATATCAGTTTTGATCTGTTTTAGTATATAATCTTTTATTTTTTTTCAAAATCATACCTAACGTCTAGTTTTTGTTGCATTTCAATACTCGTTAAAATTTTAACACATTTAATATCTAAACTATCAATTTTTGTCTGTTTTAGTGCCTAAACTTTCAATTTCTTTTCAAAATTTAACTTTAAGTTTTTAACATGATACTAAAATGAAACAAAAACTAAAAGTTAGAAATGGTTTTAAAAAAAATTAAGTACTAAAATGGAATAAAATTGATAGTTTGGACGCTAAATACGTAATTTACCCTGATTTTGAAAAATGAATAATACTATTTTTTTCTTTTATTTTTTTGATAACATGATTTATAAAATCTAGACAAGTACCCCACCTTTCTTTGCCTCTTCTTCAACTCAATCACTTGAAGAAAGACCCATTGTTGATTCCCTAATACCCAAGATTTTTTAAAATAAAAAGAAAAGAAAAGAAAATCAAAGTTCTTAATAATTATTACTATCTAATTAATAACATGAGCTACCTAAAAAGGTTGAAAAAGTATACAATTTTATTAATCCCATTGTAACACCCCCAACCTGTACCCGACCCGAATACAAGTCTAAGATGTTACATTGACTTTTTGAAACAATTTTCTTACAAAATAACAAAACATTTGAACTCATATTAGGAAAATATAATAAATACTATTAAATTATGCTTCATTATAAAATTTGAGGTAAAAGCGTATTTATGAACAATATAATACGGTATGAACAGTATCATGAACAGTGAAAAATTTCGAATATAAATTATGTATCGATGCACTGCTACAGTACTTTCGTAAAATACACATAAATTCATAAAAAAACTAAGTTTTCATCCGTATAAAATTTTCATTTACATATACGCGTTTGAAACATTACAAAACTCAATTATGAGATTTTACAAAACCGCTAAAAATATATCGGATTCAAACCTCTGTTTACATGCCAACTACTATAAGTATTACAAAATACATACTATTAACTTCTTTTCTGATCTGATCTTTGGAAAGGAGGAACTGACTGTCTTCTATAACTTTTATCAATCTTCCTCTTCTCAAAACCTACGCATGAAATAATCACACGCTAAGTCAATGGACTTAGTTAGTCATATAAAATATATAACAATGAATTCATGAAACATGCATTTTTACCGTTCAATCATAACATTATAACCTGCATATATCCATTACACTACAACATATATGATAATGTCATGCATATATGAAATTTATCATCTTATGCAAGTTTTACTTCACTTTATCTTTGTATTTCCCATGTACATTATTGAGAACAGGAGGTAAATGAGTACACTGAGGTTGTGCACGAATGTTGTCATCGCAGCTAGAATAAATTCCCACTAGGGGCACTGAATATTTATCCCGAATGACCACTATGTCCCAAAGGACCATTATATATGTCCCGAAGGACCACTATGTCCCGAAGGACCACTGTATAACCCTCGACTCTTGGCATGCCAACTATACCTCTAGCCCTCATGACATATAACATGGGCATTATTATTTATCATTTCACATTTTTATATAAGCTCATAGCTTCGTTCACATATACATGTAATTGTCGAAACGATTTTTAAAACGGCGGGAGGGGCGAGATTTAGAAAAACCGCGTCATTTTTAATTGTTCTCTTTACGATTGAATTTTTATTAAAAACAATGCAATTTTAGAAAACCTCTCGTTTCAAAAAATTTGGGATTCCTTTTAAATAAATAAAAACGTAGGTTCGAGGAGTCGCCACCAATCTTTGATTAGGGTGTGATTGGGCACCCAAAAACGTTGTCATTTTAAATAAAAATTAATTTTAATTAAAACGACAAATTTACGGTCTACGTTACCAAAATCCAAGTTCGGGAGTCGGTTACGTGTGGGGAAGGATTAGCACCCCCACAATGCCCTAAATCGGTACCTAGTCGATTAATTAATTTCTTTGCGACGATTTCACAAGTTCAAATTTAATTTGATTAATCCCTTTAAACGACAAACATGCAAATTTGCAACATTCAAAGCAACAAAATAGATTTAATTTAAAATTACCAAGTCATTAGAAAGATAAAGAATATTCGATTATTTAAAATATCGAGACCAGATCTTTAGTTCAGTTCTAACGACCTTTTCTCGAAAAGTTTAAATAGTCGAATATTTCCTTTTCTTTCGCTCCCAAATTTTACAAGGATATATCCGAATTTAATTAGGCGTTACTGACGGGATATACTTTTAATTTAAAATCGTCAAAGCGGATATCTAATCAGTTAAGACAACCACTTAAAACAATTTTAAATTAAAAAGATATTACCCTTAATTAAATTATGTAAATACATCGAGTTATGCACACGAGGTTACACACGATATTAAAAATTATCTATTAATAAATATATATGAAAACTAACATGCACTAACATTACTTAACGTATTAATATGTAACATACTAATGGGACTTAAATACGAAAAAAATAAAAACATAACATACCAAACTATACATGTTACACTAAAACCAAATCACATTAAACCGAATTTTAATATCCAAAATATAAACAAAATAATCATTGAAATGAACATACGAGTAGTACACATAGTAAACAATGAAACCAGAATAAAACAAATCATCACCATAATGGACTAAAATATAATAAACCCTAAACATACATAGGACTAAAAAGAAACATGCAAAACATTCAAAGTCAAAAGTCTAAGAAAACAGAAACTAAGTATATTACCACTCAGGACTAAAATGCAACATGCAGAACACGAGGGTCAAATGTTAAAACAGTAAGATTCAACTACAACACTACTTAGGACTAAAGTTAAATGCGGGTAAAATAAAGAGACAAAATTATAAACATGCAAACAATGATTTATGGACCAAGATGCAACATCCGAAAATTAGGAGACAAAACTAAAATTCCCATAAAGCTCGACTTAAGGACCACACTGGAATGAAAAGAAAAAGGAAGGACTTAAACTGCTGTTAGCCCATTTTCCTAAAACCCGGTTCACCTCTACCAGCCTCAAGACGCTGCCGTTTCACGCCTCCGTGAAACTACGCCGTTTTGGCGTGATAATATATGGGGTATCAGGGTAAGCATTTTACCCTAATTTCATTTCATTTCCCCCCAGCCGCAACCTCTTCTTCTCCTCTCCAAGGCACCGCTCTCTCATCCCTACCCATCTCCTTATCTCTTCCTCAACACAACAAACCAGAAGCTAAAAAAACGACCATGGCCAACACTCTGTCAGTCGAAACCCTCATCCCAAGGCCCCCGTCATCACATGCAAGCTTAAGGATTCTAACCGAGCAACGATCAACACAGGGTCTGGTGACAACTCGACAAAGGTAAAAGCTTTACTCTCTTCACTGTTATTCTTGAAAATGCTTTGCTTTATGCGTTGGTTGTTGCTGATGATAGTTTTGGATGGCATTTCACTTAGAGCTCTTCATTTTGTAGAATGATAAAAACGAAGAAAAAAACTTATGAAGAAATCGGGAAACAAACTTTAAAAATGATTTCTAGCCTTTCATTACTCTGTAAAATCATGGAAGGATCCCCGTTTACATTGTTTTCGAATACGGGAGAATCCCTCTCCAGTTACACTCCTTTTCCTTCAAGAACCCCTACCGTTGTTAATGATCGCCACCCCCTCTGTTTGAGAACCCAGAACCCCCTGTGTTGATGAGCCCTTTTTATTTTTCCCTATTCTGTAGAAAAGCCGAACCTCTCACTGTTGGTTTTTTTTTCCTTTTTTTCCTTCCTCTCGTCCCCCTCCTTTTGTTGATGATGAAAACGCTCTCCCCGATGGCCTCCTGTTCTGTTTTCGTTGATGCCCGTGTTTTGCTTTCCCAGGTACCTCGGTTCTCTCTGCCTCGTTTGTGATGTTGCAGGTCACGGGTGACGACCTCGAGGGACTTTCCATGGGGTGCTCACGCTGCTCGAGAGGCGTGGATCCTGGATGCTGTCGGCTCGTGATCAGGGTACGTGGGGGGAGCAGACTTCACGTGGGATGCTGCTCGGTTATAGCTGGGAACCGAGCCTCGTCTGCTCGGTTGTAGTGATGGCAGGACGTGGTTCACGAGCTGCTGTTGGGCACTCCACGTGGGGACAAAACATGGGAGCATGGGAAGCAGAGGCATTGTGGAGCCAGCTGGTGGCAAGCGTGGACCGCTTGGCATTCACGTGGGCAACTCAGTTGCTGCAATCGGGTCGGATTGGCGCAACCAGGTTGGGTTGATGAAACTGGGCCAACTTGGGCCTGATCTGCTTTGTGGCTCTGGATGTAATTGGGTTTCATGTTGTTGTTGGGCTCTGGATTGGGTCATAATA